ATGTACAATGCACAGTACATGTAACACAATCACTGTGCCTTTCAGTATTGGAGTAAAGAAAGTTCAGTAAAGTGTAGTGTATTGTTTAGAAACGAGAATGTAGCTGTACTAGTTGCGAGTTAAAGATTGTTTGTTTTATGTTCGTAAACAATGTTATTTTTAAAAGCGTATTTTTTCATTGTGTTAGTTGCGCCATATGAGATTTACTACACAATCATTTAGAACCCAGTCGCTTGCATTACACTAGAATAGCCCAAAGTCGGTAAGAGTTACTTATATTTTGGAGATAAAGATAGGATAACTTGCAACTGTTAAGTAAAGATGTTATCTAAGCGACTTAATAGCATTATATAAAAGAACTAGGGCAAGAATATGAGATGATTTTCTTATTTTATTTCAATTATTTTTTCAGTTGACGGTTTAATAAATCAGTAAAAACGACGCAAAGCTGTTGTTGTTGTGTGTGAGTATTGCAAGTGGCTACAAGAACTGATAAATTTTATAATACGCAGGTCAAGTTAAAAAAACAGCATGATTGGATTTTTTTTTAGTTTTGCTGTTTTTTTGCTTTTTTTCAGCATATATGCAATACCGGTAACACTATTAGAGGTAAACCGTTTTACCCTTTGACTTAAATTTTACAGAACTCCTAAATATTCAGTAATTACAGGTTGAGTTCGAAAATTAGCATGATCGGGCATTTTTTCAAAAGTTATGCTGTTTTTTTTCTTTTTCAGCATATTTGCAACACTGATAACACATTTCAAGAAAAATCGATAGACCTTTTGTCTTGAAACCTTCAAGGGTAATCAATCTTACTAAAATACAGGTCGAATTCAAAAATCAGCTTGATTGGACCATTTCTTCAAAAGTTATGCTGTTTTTTCGCTTTCCTCAGCATATATGCAACACCAATAATACATTTCAGGGAAAACCAATTAACCGTTTGTTTTGCAACTCACAGGAGTGATTAATCTTTCTTATATACAGATCAAGTTCGAAAATAAGCTTGATCAGTCAAGTTTTGGTGAAGTTATGCATTTTTTGTGTTTGAGTTAGTTTTTCCTCAGATTTAAATCGTAGGCATGTAAACAGTCTCATTATTGCACTTATTAGATATGTAAAAGCGTTTTTTTAATTTTCTGTATCTTAACAATAGTGTTAGTTGATTTCATAAAAATGGTGGTAAACCTGTTATCGTTAATAGTGTTATAAAGTGTCAAAAATGGAAATAAACTCTTATCATTGCAGTTCGTCAGATTCGATCATTCACTATGTTCAGAATCTCAGACTGGAGCAAATTGAACATGTAACATTGTTCTATTGATATTTTTTACTATGTCAATAATTTTGTTAGTTGATAACATAAAAATGACGGCAAACTGATTATTTTGTTTTATGTAAAAGAAGGTGTTGAAAATGAAAATAAACTCATTACAGTAAAGTTATCTCGTTTTCATTTTGGCATTTTTCAAGGTGTGATTCTGAACTTCCATGAGCTTGAAGACTTGTGCTAGTCGCATTTCTATTAGTCGAGTGAGATTTTTGAAAAAAAGGCTCTGCATAAGAGGCAAAGGGCATTTTGGGGTAAAAGTTGGGAAGGCTTATTAGCATAATTTTGGGATGCTGATTCCAATTAACCCGGTTCCCAAGCGAAATTTTGCGTTTTTAACGGTCTAATTTGCAATAAACAAAATGGCCGTCAGATTTCCTATTTTCTGCAATA